CTATCTATCTATCTATCTATCTATCTATCTATCTATCTATCTATCTATCTATCTATCTATCTATCCCCACACGCCCTACCATCTAATCTATCTATTTTCACACACCCCTCTATCTAATCTAATCTATGTATCTATCTATTATAGATACATATTTATGGATAAACCTTCTCTCTCTCTCTCTCTCTCTCTCTCTGCCATGCGGGAACGACTGGATGTATTCACATATTTAATGGTGAAACGCTTGGAAGCCATATATGTTTAATTAAGCTGATTGCTTGTTTCCAGGGGATCTGGTGTGTGTCACTGAATGTCGCGATTCCTCTTTCTGCAATATCATGTTGAGAGAAAAAATTAAGAAGCTGTTTTTGACGTCTCTGTTTTAGCATTTTCTTTCCATATATAGGGAGTTTAGTTGGGGAACCTCCTTGCTCTTAGTTAATGTGGTCTCACTGCACAGCTCAGAATCCGCTTCCCCTTTTTGTACCAGTCCCGGCTTTGCTCTGTGTCACTGTGTAGCTCCTGGCACAGTAATAGGTGCCGCTGTCTCCGGCCTCCATGCCTCTCATTTCCAAATACACCTCGCTCTTAGAGGTGTCCCTTGAGATGCTCAGTCGGTTTTTCAGAGACTCCTGGTAGTATTTGTCATCCTCCCAATCCGCAGCAGATAACCACTCCAGGCCTTTCCCCGGGGGCTGTCGAACCCAGCTCACCCTATACCCGTACTCAGTGAGAGAGAATCCAGACACGGAGCAGGTGAGTCTCAGGGTCTGTGAGGGCTTCACCTGGGCTGCTCCGGTCTGCAGCAGTTTAACCTGGGAACGGACACCTGCAAAGAGCACGGAGAAATCTCAGTCAGAGAGATGACAGCAGCGGGATCGGTAGAAAGGGGCGAGTGCTCTCTCCTATCGTACTTACATGCTGCAATAGCAAAGAGAAGGAGAGAAAGAAGCAAAGTTTTCATCTTCCCTCCAGGAAATCAGCTAGGAACAGGCACAGAGACCCAGAGGGAATGACACAGATCTGACTTTTGCAGGGACCGCTGAAATAAAGAACGGAAATATTCTATTCTTAAGAGAAAGCAAAATAATCATTTGCCTACCCCGCCCTCTCATGCAAAGCACGGGTAAATTAGTTCTCTCTGTAGTCCTCATAAATGTGGCCCCTGACTAATAGTCATCAGTTAAAGTCTCATGTGGATCAGACACATTATTATCGAGGTATGTCCTAGAAACCAAAAGAAAGTTCACAACCCCCATGTGCTAGGTACTGCACAGATACATAATCAAAGCGAGTCAGTCCCCTGGTAAGGTGCTACATCTTTAACTCTTATATGAATAAGAGATGCCTGGACACGTGGGTGAATCAACGGGGGGAACACAATGTATAATTATTGTTATTACCAGAAATGTCTATTAGGATCATCTAGTCTGACCTTCAGGATAGCACGGGCCATGCTGATGCTGACGATGCTACCAAGGCGAAGCAGTCTGGTCTGTTAGGATGGACCATTAGACCAGGACTCAGGAGACTTGTATTCAGTTCCTGGCTTTGCCACTGGTCTGCTGGATGACAGTGGGCAGGTCCCTTTTCCTCCTTGTACCTCATTTTCCCCATCTGTATAAAAGGGGCTAATGATACTTACCTCTCCTTAAAAAGAGCTTTTAGATCTGATGAAAAGCAGCTACTACCACTGCTAGGAAGAGAAATGTCCATGGTGTTTGTCCCTGAACACAGCTGTAAGGCATGTACACCCTGTAACTTGCTGTCATTTGTAACTTGCTCCAGACAAATATGGAGGAGGATCAAAAGTGAAAGGTGAAGAAATTTAGGAAAACGCAGGAGAGACAGGAGCACCCAAACAATTCAGTTTCGTCCAAGCCAATGCTCTGGCTCCCAAAACCCTTTTGAGAGAACATTGATTTATTTACTATCTGGGTGGCTCTTTACCTAGTTCATTTATTTGTAGCGACAGTGTCCCCTGCTGATTAAACACGCAACACTTACTCTACAAGAGATTTTTACAGATAAGGTT